CAATAAATAGCATTACAATGAGAAACATAAACTAGAAACTACCTAAAATAGGAAACGGTGAATGAATACCAAATCCTCTATTCTAGGAAACTAATTACAATTACTTTACAGCTAGCACTCTGTAAATCAGAGAAGATCCGGATCCTAGAGTTCACAAAGAATCCGGATTTCCACAACTCTCAACAATATATAGATTCCCACCAACATAAATGAAGCTCTCAAAGTTCCAGGATGAAGAGTTGTCGTTTGGGAATAAATTCGTGCATTAAAAAAGAATAAGACATGAGAACTTGTAGAATTATCTAAGGGGAAACATGCGGTTGGCTGCAAATGGATATTCACAGTGAAGTACAAGGCAGACGGAAGTGTGGAGAGATTCAAAGCTCTGTTCGTTGCAAAGGGTTTCACTCAGTCTTATGGAATTATCATCTGGAGACTTTTGCGCCAGCTGCCAAACTCAACAAAGTTAAGAGTTTTGTTATCATTAGCAGTTAATCTGGACTAGCCTCTTCATTAGCTAGATGTCAAAAATGCATTTCTGAATGGCACATTGGAAGAAGTCTACATGGAGATTCCTCCAGGTTTTGAATCACAGACAAATGCTAATAAAGTTTGTAAACTCAGAGAATCCCTTTATGGACCCAAGGAGTCTCTTCGAGCCTAGTTTGTCAGATTTACAAAAGGCATTAGGAAGAATGGATACTCACAGACTTAGGCTGACGCACAATGTTTTTCAAGCATTCTCTTGAGGGTAAGATAGCTATTATCATAGTCTATGTTGATGATATTATCTTCACACGAGATTATGTAGAAGACATTTGCATTTTGAAAGAAATCCTAGCCAAGGAATTTGAGATTAAAGATCTCGGAGATCTCAATTTTTTTTCTTGGGATGGAAATTGCATGGTCAAAGAGAGGAATTGTTGTCTCACAGTGTAAGTACATTCTAGATCTCCTAGAAGAAACATGGATGCTCGAATGTAAACCAGCTGACACTCCGACAGATTGTACAAACAAGTTGAGTTAAATAGAAGAAAGTGTTGTTGTGGACAAGGGGAGATATTAAAGACTTGGTGGAAAAACTCATATGTCTCTCACATACTAGACCTGACATATGTTTCTTTGCCAGTATGGTGAGTCAATTTATGAACAATCATGCTGAAGAACATATTAATGCAGTGTATCGCATCCTCAGATATCTTAAAATGACACCAGGAAAAGGGCTCATCTTTCAACGATCAATAAAGAGAGACATAGTGTTGAAAGATTATAATAATTTGTAATTATTGTAATAGATAGGATTGTTTTCTCTATTTTAGGAAATAACAAAAATATGATCATATCAGATCAGATTTGATTAGGATATTTTCTTTAATAAGGGTATCGGATCCCACTGTTTGTTGGTGTATCAATCAACATTATTTGCTGATTTTAGCCTAATAAAAGGCTATGGTTGTACACGGATATTTTCAAGAAAAACAGAAGAGAAAAAAACCTTTTGAGAATTAGGATTCTTTTCTCTAAACTCTCTTCAATTTCTTCAATTATTTTTCTCTCTTCTCACTCAAATAATCTTCATGGTATCAGAGCCTGTATTCTAATCCATATCATCTCCAATCTGTTAGTCGTCTCTATTCCTCTTTTATTTTATGTTCAAACCTAAATGGTCAAATACGGAATGGCTTCATCAGCAACATTGGCAATGTCCTCCACAACCATTTGTTCTGCTCGAGAGACTAGCGAGGCCAGCATCCCTACAAACTCCGATTCCTTGCTGTTGTCGATTACAAGTCACAAACTAACTGATCGGAATTATCTTCAATGGTCATAATCAATCATGCTTTTCATTTGTGGTAATGGAAAAGATGATTACCTTACGGGAGGAACAACTGAACCAGCGCAGGATGATCCGAAACACAAGGTTTGGAAAACTGAAAATAGTATGGTCATGTCATGGTTATTAAATTCCATGACCAAGGAGATTAGTGAAGATTTCTTGTTCTATGGCACGACTTAAGAGATATGGGAGGCTGCCAAGGAAACATACTCCGACAATGAAGATACGGCTGAGATATTTGAAATCAAAGGACAACTTAGTGAACTTCGACAAGGGGACATGACTGTTACTCAATATTTTAACAGTCTAAATAGATATTGGAAGCAACTTGATCTCTTTGATAGTGAAAAACTCGGTTGTACTACTTGCAGCATCAAGTACAAGAAAATCATGGAGAAAGAAAGGATTTTCAAGTTCTTACTAGGTCTCATTGATAGTGAAAAACTCGGTTGTACTACTTGCAGCATCAAGTACAAGAAAGTCGTGGAGAAAGAAAGGATTTTCAAGTTCTTACTAGATCTCGATAAAAATCTGGATGAAGTTAGAGGAAGGGTTCTCAGCACTAAACCCTTACCCGGGAGGCCTTTTATGAAGTAAGGTGATGATGGGCACTCAAACAACCACTCAAGGATCCTCTGACTCCCTTGAAGCTTCAGCCCTTCCTGCACATGGCCCCAGTCTGAGTCGTGATGGTTCTCAATCGAAGAAAAATGGCCGTCCATGGTGCGAGCACTGTAAGAAGCCAGGACATACAAAGAATACTTGCTGGAAAACCGGCTAATTGGAAACCTAGAGCAGCTTATCAAAATCATTAGAATAAAGGGGAAAGGCGTGGACTTATAGCCAGTGGAGAAGAGAAACCAACTTCAGAAAACATGTTGTTCAGCCAAGAGCAATTGGAGTTCTTGCAAAAGCATATCAGTCAATAAAATGTGCCTGAAACCATCAGGATTGGTACTATAACTCAAAAAGGTAATATCCCCACAATTTCAACATCACAAAAGGACACTTACAGTCCTTGGATTGTTGATTCTGGTGCCTCCGATCATATGACCGGTAATCAAAAGTTATTTCACACACTTTACCCATGCCCTGGAAATTATAATGTGTGGATTGCTGATGGTTCTGCTGCTAAGGTCACAGGAATTTGAACTATCGTCATTAACAAAGATTTTATTTTAAAATCCGTGTTACTAGTTCCAAATCTAAACTACAATCTTTTATCTATCAGCAAGCTTACCAACGATGTAAAGTGTATAACTCATTTCTCACCAACTCATTGTTATTTTCAGGACTTGGAATCAGGGAGGATGATTGGCAATGCTAAGGAGTGTGCGGGACTCTATCTTCTCGAAGGGCCAAGTAATCCTATAAAACAAGCTCATCATGCAAGTGTATCTCTTCCTATTTCCTTAAACCTTTGAAATAAAACAAGTGCAATTATGTTGTGGCACTTCCGATTGGGACATCCTTAATTTCAGTATTTAAAAAAGTTGTTTCCTTCGTTGTTTGACATTGTGAATGAAAAATTATTGCAATGTGAAATTTGTCAATTTTCAAAGCATGTTAGAAACAACTATCCATCATAGCCCTATAAATCTTCCCATTCTTTTGCAATGATCCATAGTGATATTTGGGGTCCCTCAAGGGTTAAAACCATTTCAGGAATAAAGTGGTTTGTGTTATTCATAGGTGATCATACTAGATTGACGTGGGTATATATCATGAGAGACAAATCAGAGGCTAGTATCATATTTAAAGAGTTTTATACCAGGATACAAAATCAATTTCAAACGAGTATAAAAGTCTTTAGGTTTGACAATGCTAGAGATTATTTCAATACGATTCTTGGGGAATTCTTCAAAACTCATGGGATAATACAACAAAGCTCTTGTATTGACACACCCCAACAAAACGGGATAGCAGATCAATCATGTTCACCACCCACGTCCCTAAACAGTTCTGGGGGGATGCTGTCTTAACTGCAGCATACTTTATAAACCGAATGCCTTCTCGGGTACTAAATTTTGAGTCCTTGTCAAAAATTACTCAAGAGCCATCCTACAACTCATGTCATCTCCACTTTACCATTTAAAATCTTCGGGAGTTCGGTTTTTGTCCATAATCTTGCTCCAAATAGAAGCAAACTTGACCCCAAAGCCATTAAATGCGTTTTTCTAGGTTATTCTCCTAATAAGAAGGGTTACAAGTGTTATTCACTAGAGAGACAGAAATTTTACACCTCTATGATGTAACCTTTTTCGAAAACCAACCCTATTTCACCCAAAATTCCATTCAGGGGGAGAATACACAGAATGAATGTAATTTGTGGTACCTCACAACCACAACCGAGCCTGGCTTCTCAAAAACTTCAAATGAGCTCGAACCTGAACCAATGACTTCAAATCAGGCCGAACGTGAACCAATTCCAGATAACCCTCCAATTGAAACTTTTCCTGAACCACCTCAGATTTTGCATGAAAAAGAGCTACGTGTTTATACAAGGAGGAACAAGCCTCATGAGAAGGAAGAAATTCCAATTCTTCCTGAGCAGTCATGAATCCGAACTCATTTCAGGAAATGAAGGTAACAATGTTGCCAATGAACCTGTTGACAATAACCTTGATGTGCCAATTGCCATAAGAAAATGTGTTTGGGAATGTACAAGACATCCTATTCAGAGATTTGTGTCTTATGTTGGTTTATCTCTAGAATTCAAGGCGTTTGCCACTAATCTAGTTGATATTGAGATTCCACATAACATTTATATTGCTCTTGGCAAACTAGAGTGGAGGATGGCAGTTGAAGCATAAATGGAAGCACTTGAAAAGAATGACACTTGGGAGCTGACAGAGCTACCACAGGGAAAACATCCAGTTGGCTGCAAATGGATATTCACTGTCAAAGTCAAACCAGATGAGAGTCTAGACCGTTACAAAGCAAGACTTGTTGCCAAAGGTTTCACACAAACCTACGGCATTGACTATCAGGAAACATGCTCACCAGTTGCAAAACTCAACACCATTCGTGGGCTTCTCTCCTTAGCCGCTAATAAGGACTGGCCGTTGCATCAGTACGATGTCAAAAATGCATTCCTTCATGGGGATTTAGAAGAGGAGGTGTTTATGGAAATTCCATATGGATTTCAAGCAAGAGCTAATGTCAACAAGGTGTGCAGGCTTCGAAAGTCGCTCTATGGACTTAAACAATCTCCATGAGTGTGGTTTGACAAGTTCACAAAAGTGGTTAAGGAACAAGGATATTCTCAAGGACACTCCGATCACACACTATTCATAAAATTTGCAGACGATGGAAAGGTGGCAATTCTCATTGTGTATGTTGATGATATTGTTGTGACATGAGACTTTAAGGAAGAAATAATCAAATTGAGAGAAGTCTTATCAAGAGAATTTGAGATCAAAGACCTTGGAAACTTAAAATTTCCTTGGTATGGAGATAGCCCGATCTAAGAAAGGGATAGTAGTCTCTTAACAAAAATATGTTTTGGATCTACTCAAAGAAACTGGGATGTTAGGATGCAAGCTTGCAGATACTCCAATGGATCCAAATAAAAAACTCGGGGTCAATGAAAATTGTCCTCCAGTCGAGACAGGAAGGTATCAACGCCTGGTTAGGAGACTCATTTATGTTTCGCACACACGACCTGACATAGCCTTCTCAGTAAGTGTGGTTAGTCAATTCATGAACAAACCTAATGAAGAACATTTAGAAGCAGTGTACAAAATTCTTCGTTACTTGAAGATGACTCCAGGGAAAGGAATGTTCTTCAAAAAGGGGTCAAATCGAATGATAGAAGTCTTTACAGATGCAGGTTGGGCAGACACGATCATTGACAGAAGATCCACAACAGGTTACTGCCAATCTTGTCACATGGCAAAGTAAAAAATAGTCAGTTGTTGCAAGAAGTAATGCAGAAGCAGAATTTCGCGCACTAGCTCAAGGAATCTGTGAAGGGATGTCGCTAAACAGACTACTGAAGGAACTCAGAGTCCCTACAGAAGAACCCATGTTGGTATACTATGATAACCAAGCAGCAATAAGCATTGCTAAGAATCCTGTTCATCACGATAAAACCAAATATGTGGAGCTAGACCGACATTTCATTAAAGAGAAAATTGAAGAAGGGATTCTGAATCTAAATCACCTGTCAACTCATCAACAAGTGGCAGATGTCTTGACAAAAGGACTTGCTTGAGCAAAGTTTGAGGAGCTAAATTCCAAGCTTAGAATGATCAAAATATATTCCAAGCTTGAGAGGGAGTGTTGAAAGATTATAATAATTTGTAATTATTGTAATAGATAGGATTATTTTCTCTATTTTAGGAAATGGCACAAATCTGATCATATCAGATCAGATTTGATTAGGATATTTTCTTTAATAAGGGTATCGGATCCCATTGTTTGCTGGTGTATCAATCAACATTATTTGCTGATTCTAACCTATTAAAAGGCTATGGTTGTACACGGATATTTTCAAGAAAAACATAAGAGAAAAAAACCTTTGAGAATTAGGATTCTTTTCTCTAAACTCTCTTCAATTTCTTCAATTATTTTTCTCTCTTCTCACTCAAATAATCTTCACATAGAGATCTACACCGATGTTGATTGGGCTAGATCTATAACTGATAGAAGATGAACCTCAGGATATTGTTCCTATATATGGGGTAATCTAGTCACTTGGCGGAGCAAGAAACAATCTGTCGTAGCCCGAAGTAGTGCTGAAGCTGAGTTCAAACTATGGCCCATGGCATTTGTGAAGGAATTTGGTTAAAACGAGTCCTTGGTGAACTCAAGATCCCAGTTGAAGGTTTTATGAAGTCGTGTGATAATCAGGTCGCAATAAACATTGCTAAAAATCTTGTTCATTATGATAAGACAAAGCAGGTTGAGATTGATCGTCGTTTTATAAAGGAGAAGATTGAAGGAATAATATAGCCAGTGTGTACTCCAACGAAACTCTAAATTGCAGACGTCCTCACCAAAGCTCTACCGAAGACAAACTTTGAAGATTTGATTCCAATATGGGCATGATTAACATATACAACCTAGCTTGAGAGGGAGTGTGGAATTCCAATTTAATTAGTGGACTGACTTTTGCTATTTCCATTTATAGGGGATTTCTTAGTAGGCTGTTACCAAATTATTCTCTCTTTATTACTTTCCTTGTTTAGGTAGATTTTCTCTCCATTTAGGATTGTGGAATAGCATAGGACAGCGGTAATTGCCTCAATGAAGTCCTATGTATTTTCTTATGTATTCTCAGTTCTTCAATAAGAGAAATATTCTAATTCTTCTCTCAAAAAATTACACCAACATTCTTGACAAAATGAAAGTGTGAACCCATCCGGGCCGCGGGCCTTATTTCTGTCACAATTGAAAATTGCTCTCTTAATTTCTTCTTCAAATGGCTTCTCTAAAGTCTCTGCAGCCAAAACTGAGATTGGGTTCCGATTCAAACCTTCAATAGCAGTGAAATTTCCTCCCAAAGATTCATAAAGTTTCTCATAGAAGCCAACTAACAACTTTGTGATCTCCTCATCCGCCACAACAGATCCTTCTTCATGCTCTAGCTTTGAAACAATATTTCTTGTTTTCCTTGCACTAACCTATGGAAAAGCTTCGTATTCGCATCTCCATCCCGAGCCCAAGTATACTTACACTTCAATCTCAAGGCCTTATCCTCCTTCTCAATAATAAGAAAGAAAAAAAAAAAAAAACGCCGCTTTAACTCCCTCCTTCCCTCCTTCAAAGTTGCTGTCCAATCAGAGCCCCTTACAAGTTGATCGATCTCCTTAATCCTCTGCTTCTTTACTCGCATAGCATCGGTCTCCTCCGAACTCCAACTCTTCACTTTCCCCTTCAAAAACTTCCAACTTCCTCGTGAACTTGAAACCGTTCCACCCTCTGACCTCCTCTTCCTCCCACCAAGACATCAAATTTCTAACGAAGTCTTTGTTTTCGAGCCAAGTGTTATGAACTATTGGTAGACATTGTTTTAGACTCTCAGATTTTCTTCAAGTTTTCTTTGACTGTTACACTTTTCTTAATGTGATGTGATTTTAATGCGAGTTGACAATTTAAAACTGTGGCTTATTGGTAGTTTTTTTCCTTCTCACTTTCTTTTTCTTTTAAAACCCTATGTTGTTCTTTGGATTCTGGCTCGCAGCTTTTTTGGAAACGTCTCTCCTGAGCAGTTTTTAAAGCTCTATCTTTGCAGATTGTTGAAGCAAGAGATGTACTTCTCCAGAAGCTTCAGAACAGAGATGCACAAGTAGAGACCTCTGAGAACTCCAAGCCTCTTAGTACATCTCAAGACCACATCCAAGTCAGCAAAAAACAAGGGCACGATAATCCATCATTGGAACACGATGCATTGAAGTTTGAAGTTTCAGGTAAAGCTAATACTGAGCAGTGTTTGGAGAAGGCAATTGATGACTCGGGTAACACTTCAGCCGCCGATGTAAAGTTTGAAACTGAGGATGATATTTCATTTAGCGATCTAGAGGATGATGACAGTGAAGTCTCTCGTCGATTATCGGACAGTAGGACAGCGCAGGACATTAGAACCTCTTCGCCTGGTGAATCCAATGATTGGGTTCAGCTAAGCGGAAGTTCAAAGGTTCAAAGTGGCAAGCAAAAACCTGGCCAGTCCAAGGAGAAAGACTCGGAAGGTGAGGAGTCGAGTGACTGGCTTGCTGTTGATGACTATGATTAGATGGTTTGGTATTTAGTTTGATTGCCAAATAATTGTAAAGTTACAACTTTTTTTTTTTCTTTTTATTTGTTCCTTGTGTATTTTTCTCTTGTTGGGGCACGGGGGAATCTGTGCTGCGAAGAATTTCAGTGTTAACATAAGCTTCTTTGTTTCAGTAAATAATTCGAGGAAGTTATTTTCAAACACAAGTATTATTGGTGGGAGTGACAGATTTTGTGAAGTTTTGTTGATCAAACCAGCTTCAGAGAGAAAAATTTGAGAAAAGGAAAAATCTGCTTAATTGGCTTCTTTTGTTGCTGGAAGTAACAGATGTAATTTTTTTTTTTTTTTTTAACTGAGACAAAAACGCAACAAAAGAAGGAAAAAATTTAAAAAAATCGTTCATCGTCTCATTAAAAAAAAGGGAAAAGAAGTTTAACTGTAAACCACAGGCACATGAAAACGACGACAAAAAGGAATGAAGTGGACATTAAAAGGAAAACGCAAGAAAGGATAAAAGTAAATAAAACCATAGGAATGTAAACAGCAACTAGTAAAACGACAGGCCCATTGAAACGAGAACAAAATCAAAGTGATATTAAATGCAAAAAAAAAAAAAAAAGAAAAAAAAAACTTAAAAACAAGAAATTGACACGACACAAAAATAAAAAACCACAAGAAGTGCACAACACAAGTTGAAATGATAGAACGCAAAACCAACGACAAATAAAAATCTACATCTCAA